TCAATAATCAGTGTTCATTGTTCTGTTGAGGGCAATATGGAAAAGCACTCAGCAAAATGATTACTGATTTAAATTACCTCTTATGACAATTAAACTAAAGTCTTTACTATCCAAGGAATGTAAAGGATAAAGTAAAGATAGTTCAAGGGAAAAATTTCACTTTCACCTCCATTAAGTGAATATTCAAGCTAACATAGTGTTGGAGCTTTATTTTCCCATTGCACTTTCCAGTTTATTATATTTTCTCCATGGTATTTGTTAGCAGTCATTTACTGGAACCTAATAGCAGTACTGAGGAATCTGCTCAGAATTTTTTTAGCTCAGCTTTAATGTCCAGTACATTTACCTCTAATATGATCTCTTAATAATGCATTGCTTTACAGTGGTGAAACCTAATAAACACTACCTCAACCAGATTGACCAAGGTCAATATTAACAGTGATAAGTCATGATGGTGGTATGTACCTCTGATATCATGTGATATAAGTGGTACTTCACTTCTGTGGTCTTCCAAAAACTGGTAATACCTGTCTAGTCATGGGGAAAACATCAGACAAATTCCAATTAAGGGACATTTTACAAACTACTAGACCAGTACTCTTCAATACTGTCAAGGTCCTCAAAATCAAAAAAAGTTTGAGAAACTGTTGCAACTAAGAGGAACTTAAGAAGACAGGATGACTAAATATTATGTGTATCTTGGATGAAATCCTGTAATAGAAAAAAGACACTAGGTAAAAGCTAAAGAAATCTGAATGAAGTGTGAACTTAATGCATCAGTATTGGTTCAGTAGTTGTGACAAATGTCACAATGGGTGTACAGTATATGGAACCTTTCTGTGGTATCTTCACAATTTTTCTGTGAATCTAAAACTATTCTAAACTAAAAGGTTTAATGAAAAATTTTATGAACACACAACCACCTTTTATTCTTTTATTTTCATATTTTCATGGTAAAATTAAAAAAAAAAATCATACCAGAATGTTTCTATTCCATGCCAATTTCAGTGTTTTCTCATGGCCATGTCTCTCATAACTTAGTTTTAGCTTTATTTCCCATATTTATTTGGCAAATTATTTGACGTTTATATTCTTCCTGTCCTTGGGAATGTTGTTTTATTTCCTTTGGAAATAAAATTTTTCAATGACTTATTTATTATTTATCTTATTTAAACATTTATTTTAAACCTACAATATTATACACACATATGCATACACACATCTATATACATATATCTGTGTATGTGTGTCATGGAAAGAAACATACTTCCTGGATGTAGGTTCAGTGTGATGTTCATGAACTGAAAACTGAATTTGAATCATATTGAGCAAAGCAGTAACAGATTCATATAGTCCTCCATCTTAAAATAAGCGTGGATGAATAATTAAATCAGATTTTTAAAGTATGCTTTTCTAAAGAATTGGGGAAAAGTGCATTAAAGTGGCATTTCATTCATACATTCTTGAAATGGGAATAATTATTGAGCTGGAGAAGTTTGATAAAGTAGTAATAATATATGTAACACTTTATTCTTTCCATGTTGACTTTTAATTCTCATGCCCACCCTGTAAATAAGGGTATTCTAGTCCCCATTTGAAGATGAGGAAACAGGCTCAGAGAGGTTCAATATAATATTTGCCCAAAGTCCCATGAGATAGAAATGTAACTTGAATTCAAATTTGTAAGTAAAGCCTGGTATTGGGGAACAACTGTATCAACCTACGCACTACCATGTGTTGCAAGGATACTATTAAGAACGTTGCAGGGAAGATCAGAAGCCAAGTTTTTGGTATCAGTTTTATTGATAAATATTTGCAGTTGTAACAAGTGAGGAATAACTAAAACTTTTACAGATTTAATACTGTTTTCTCAGGAGAACAAGCATTTTATATTGGTCAGAAATTTAAAAAGAACTCAAAAAAGCATGCAAATATAAATGTTTGCATAATATATTTTGAAAAATAGGGTCAGCAGCTGTCCATATAAATACACAGGCAAGAAAGTTTTTGGAACTGTCTTTACCACCTTTCAAAATAATATGCCATTGTATCCAGAGCAACATTTTTAAAATTCATGTTTGATAGGGTTCTATCTATAGGCATTTTAGACCTAAGAAGTTTTAGGTGGCTTTTGAAAGAGTTCTTATTTTCCTATTTTCTGATTGTATTTAAAATTTCTTCCTTCTGTATTTATTCCTCAAAGCATCTGACATGTTGTATTTTTTGCAAATGTAACTTGTCACAATTACGATATGACATTTTTTCAGTATGTTAAAAGTGTATAGAAAAAATGGATACGTTCAAAGTTAAGAATCAGGTATTATTTTAAGTCAGCTTAATGGGGTGAAAATGTATTTTTGCCCCTAATATAGAAACATTATTTACCTATTTCTATAGTCCTTTTGCAAAACTGAACTATCAGGTAAATATATGATATGCATTTCATTCTGTAAGTAAGAACCTAGGCAGCATTAAAGGATACTACTAAACACCCCATGCACCATGACCAAATATCAGAACTGGTCATCCTATGTACATATTTTAAGACTTTTTTTTTTTTTAAAAGACCACATTATGGTCTTGATTTTTGCACTCCATAACGTTGATATCAAAATTGTGTTTTGCTATTTTTGTTCATATGCCAGTGCACCCATTGTGCTTACAGCTGCCCTATAACACTGTTGGAACATCTGTATTACCTTTGGGTAACATAACAACAGCTATCCAGAGTAAAGAAGAAGAAGCATCATCCATCCATTATTAGTGTGATCTATGTACAAGATCCATCTCTGAAGAAATCTGGCTCTCCAATTTAGTTATATACATTTATATATAATCTATACCCTTCACTTTTCTTTCCATGATAGACACATCTGAATTTAGGCACTATAGAAAGAGCATTAATCTCTTCCTGTGTGCATTAGCAGATTCTAACAGTACACAAAGATATCCTGACAATCTAAAACACAAAGTGTACCTTCTAAAGTGCTAATTTGTCCCCAGGGAGGAATATATTCACTAGGAAAAATCAGATTCTATCATAACAAATATTGTGCTCTTGGAATGGTAGCATAGACACCAGTTGAGGGCTTTTTGTTTATTATAGCTCTGTAATTAAAACAGAAGGAGTTATACCATACTTTAAAAATTGGTAGAGTTGCAAATATACACACATACTCGTAGATAGAAACTTCAAACATTTTGAAATTAAATGAGAAACCTCCCCCTCCCCCCAATAGGAATTTAGCGCAGAAATGCTCACATAACATGGCTGCCAATGTCCGATGTGTAAATCTGCTCTAGAATCATTCTCAACCCAACTTCCTAATCATGTCTCAAAAGGATATACTAACTTCAAAGTCTGTATTCTACAAATGCCCAGGTTAGAGATTAGGACTCTTTATAAGGGCCCTTATCTTTTACATTTGGTAAAATATTAAAGGTATTGTCAAACAGACAATTCATCTAATAGTCCAAAGTATCTTATAAAGATAACTTATGGCTAGCAGGTCACCATCATATATAGTAACAACAAGAATATAAAGTCTACATGTAAAAAGATTGATGCATGCAGTGTATCATAGTATATTACATATTTTCTGGTCATGTGCACCAATTTATTGTGCCTCAAACATAGCAACAAGTATGATATTACAACATATATGTGAATACATCATAGCATAATAAACTCAATTCTACTCAAGAAAAAATTAAATAATTTAGGAACAATAGAACTTCACAATAGAAGTGATGATTCTTGTAGGTTTTTCTTCACTCTTTCGGAAAAAAATAGGACTTTTTGTAAACATCTTCATACTATCTTTTTTTCAACATATTACTGAAAGCTATTATTCAAATAGGAAATATCTAATCGACATGGATAAAGTATGTCTTAACACACTAACACTTTCAGACAAAAACAGGCATTTATTAAAAGAAAAGATATAAATATTTTCTATCTTGTATTCTAACTACATTTTCATAAATAATGTATTTAAAAGTGCTGAATATGGTAGGATAGTCAGCAACGCCAGTGTAAACAGAACATTTTGTTTTCTAACTCGGCAAACTTTTTTTAAATCCCATTTTGTCAAACACTGCAACAGCTAAAATATTTGCATAGGGAATAGATAATAGCCCTTTTAACCATATCTCCTGAATTCTATATAAATTAGAAAATCAAATTCACTTAAAAAAACAATTCTTGAAATGTCTTAAGTTTTATGGAAAAAGAAACTTATGATGCCAACCTTTCAAGTAAAATAAATTTTAAAAAGAAAACCCCAAACTCGTTTATTTTAAAAATGTTTAATAAATTAAAAAATGAGAGGTAGTTAAAAAATGACAAAACCCATAATTTTAATATCATCCTTAATATAAGGCCAGTATTCTCAGTGGATATAAATATTTTTAAAACTTTCCCTTTAGGTGACTCAATACTATATTTATTAAGTTTAAGTTAAAAAAATAGCCTCCAGGGGATATTAATATTCAAATGTAACACCTTGATATAAATATGACACTGACTTTTCTGTGTGTGCACGTGATAGGATACTGTTTTCTTGAATGTCAAAAGAACATGCCAATATGAGGCAAGTATTCTGTCTTAAAGATTTAGTGGTACTTATAAAAAATAATATGGCAGCTAGAAGATTTGAGCACTGTACTGCCTTTCAATTATGGATGAGTAGTAATAGTTTAGTTTTAACATTTTTAAAATAAGTCATTCTGAAGATACTATGAAAACAGTTAAGGTCCGAAGTAGAGAATTATCTTCTTCATAACCCTTACAAAACTTCTCTTGGCTAAAAACTTAGCTTTTCATTGGATTTTGCTTTCAAGGAAAATATGCCACAGGACAGATGCTATTCATCAAAATGTTTTATGATGCTACATTTAGGCATTCCTTTATTAAATCCTTTTTTTTATATTCCAAAACTAAGTTATCAAGCTTAGTATATTTTTCTTGCTAAAGTACATACTTTACACAACCGTTTTAGAACTGGAGAGCCAGTCTTTAATAAATTAATTACAGTATTGGACATCTGATATATACATAGATTTTCTTCTATTACAATTAAAAACAGTTATCACTCTTTGATTTGTCATTGAGATAGAATATCTTCAAATTGTTTTGTGCTTTTTTCTCTTTTCTTCTTCTTATTATTTGTTTATTTTGTTTTTTTACATAGCAAACTATTCTGTAAAGAAAATGCCACAGTTTTGGCAGTGAACAATCAGAGGAATCCCCCGTTAGGATTTCCCAACAAACAGAGATAAAGAGCTCTTTTTCCATGTACAGAAATATTGGCTTCAAAATGAGTGTACTGAACACAGTATATAGCATGTTGAATACCATTGTTACAACTTAAAAATTGGCTTTTTCTGTCTCAGATTATATTTAAAAATGCAAACCACAGCCAATTTTTTTGGCAATTATTTCTATAAGACCATATTGCACAAAAGTCCTTAAATACAGATATAAGTTATGCCATTGGATTAAATATTACAACAGCTATGTGGCAAATGAAGCAGTTTTACTTTGCACATGCAGTCTCTGGGGATACACTAGGAGACTGTTCATAGGACTACAAATACAGTTTGCTTGCAAGTAGAATGAGTGTTGAATAAAACAAACTTAATTTGGCAATTCATTGTTTTTCTGTGGTGTTTTCTCCAAACTTAACCAGGATAACCTTGATAAAAATGGAGACAAAGACCATATGGTTGTATTTTCACAGTAGCCTGAGGAATGCTAAACTGTAGTTCTCCAGGAACTCAGTTTCTGGTGTTATTTAATTACCTTTATTTCCCATCCCAGCCCTCCAAAATGATTTTTTTAATGAAAATTAAGATTCAGAAGCAGAGTTGGCAGTACTTTCAACAAAGGACTTATAAATTTGAGAGTTCAAAAACCTTGGAAAAGAATCTCTGTGCATTAAGGTATATATCTGAAGTTGGGCATCTTCATACATGTGAGGATTAGGATCCAACAGATTTCTATTGATCACCTCTCTAACTCGAGAATCGAGACTGACCTAAAAAGAAATAAGAGCAGATACATTAAATAAATTTTTTTTTCAAAAGCTTTCAATTAAGTAAATATAGGTTTGTGACATTTCAGAGAAAACTCAAAGAGTTAAATCCAACTACCTAAAATCTTGACATTACCTTTTTTTTTTTGAGGTTACCTTTTCCTAGACTACCTAACCTTGCATACTTTTCTTCCTCAAAAGTTGAACTAAAACAAACAAAAAAACAACTTGTTTTTTAAACCAGAAATTTAGTTCACAGATATCCTGGCTTCCTTGGATTTATCTTTTCTATGTATTCACTTGAGTTTTTGACCATTTCTATTCATAGTTGAGGCACTGGAGAATTCCGTAGCCAGAAGACAAATTTATCTCCTCCTATTAGGTAACTGCTGGGGTGATTCTCTTGATGGGACAAGGTAAAAATCTGTCAGAGAGTAGTTCTCTGGCAAAAATTAGCATGATATCAAGTGCTGATTCCTGATAGTTTTAATATCCCAACAAATCCTATAGCATCAAAGTAAGAAACCAGGAACGTGGAAGGGTGTAGTAGAGCAAAACCAGAGCAGGCATTTTCCATGTCTTGGGGGTACCTGGCAAGGCACAGAGAACTATATGGTCCTTATCCAGAGATACATCTAAAATCTCTGTTCTAAAGATTAAGTAGAACAATTGCTTGAAGTGGAGTCTTTGAAAAGAGAAATGTAAGTAGGAATTCAGAATACCCGTGCAAGTAATGAGTACAGTGTTATTTAAAAAGCCAAAATAAATTAAATTCTGCAAATGATAGTTCTTGTTTTGTTTTGTTTTCCGTCGCTAAATGCTGATCCTGTTGGAGCTGGTAGGACTTCTGGAAAGGGAACTGGGGAAAAATAAATAGCAATAAGGGCAGGCTTGGGGAACAGAAGTAAGTTCTGCTCTGAAGTGACATGTTAGCAAAACCTAAGAGGCCAGCCATCACAAACTTGTCCGGATTGGCTTCCTCAGTCCTCACTGTTGAACACGGACTAGAGCATTGTGATCTATATTATCTGTCTCATGATATACTCATGTCTATACAAACCTTTCATATGTATAGCTGACCATTTTGTCGTAGGCATTTTGCAAAAGGCTTTTTGGTTCTGGCTTCTTTTCTCCCCTACTGTATGGATTGAGCCTGGGGTCTGAGAGAGTCCTAATGACTTAAGTGGCTCATATTCTGTCTGGGTGTCCCCAGATTCCTGAGCTCTATGGCCCATGTGGAATTGGGTTGATTGCTACATCCCAGAGACCGGTGCTATGAGAGGGAAATGGTGATCCAGACTAAATTTCTGTGGCTTAGCTAGACCAATGTTACAGAAAAAATTAAAGGTTTCTTGGCTGAACTATATATTGTCTTAAGGAATTCTTTAAAAAAAAGTTCTGGAAATGGATCATTTAGGTTTTATTCTCTGTGTTATCTGAGCCATCTGAGGTCATCATCAGTACAAAGAAATAAAAAATACAGAATTTTTCCCTAAGATTTTTATTTAAAAATATTGTTTATCTTTCTACACAATAGGAATATGTTGACACTGGAGTTCAAGCTGATCTCATACTGAAAAGTGGTGTTATGGTAAGGTGAAATCTTACCAAATACACTCAACTGTTTTTGTAAATGTTTTTGCTCTTACTTTCAAACTTGATAACTTTTTGTTTCAATGGAGGAGGGAAATGTTAGATTAGTGATAAAGAAAGAAGATCATTTATTTCTTAAATAACAGCATAATTAAATACAGTATAATTGTTTGTGGCTGTAACCATATCCGTTATCTTAAGACAGAGAAATAAAAATACCTTGAATGATTAAATGTCTTGAGTTCTCACTGTATAATTTTATTTTATTTTTTTGCAAATTAAAAACCATAGTGAAAGATCACAGAGAAAGTCATCCAACATTTAGTAACCTCTAACCAAAACTCATTTGCTATTCCTATTTAAAAAATAAAATATTCACCTTAATGTCTGCTTGTTTGGAAAAGTTGTCAGTCAAAAGAAGTGTAGAGAGGTCAAATAACAAGGATAAACCCCATGGGTATAACAATAGAGTTTCATCTGGTGGCATCTTTGTGCTTCAGATTGTGGAACATCTATAATACAAGTTAGTGGGGGTGGATCCCAGCCTGGGCCTGAGCCATAGTCACCATAGGAATCAGGCACACCTGGATGGCTCATAACCCCATCTAATCTGGGGTCCAATGACTAAGGGACTGAGGAGTTTCCCATAAAGAACTCATCCCAAGGGAAGAGAAAGTTGAGAAGCACAAGACAAGAGCTACCGTTGGGCAATGGGAATTCTGGTAGTACTCAGTCCTCACAGACTCATATCTAGGTGGGGGAAGGGAGGGTACAGTGCAGCAGTCACAGCATTAACAGAAAAAGAAGTATTCCTGTGGGCCGGGGCGCCACACAGCTCCTATGGATTTGGCAGCATTCACCCAGCAGCTGTGGCGGTGCTGGGAACAATGGCGGTGTTGAGAGGTGGCAAGTGAAGTTTACAAGGCTTACATGACTTAGTGAGAGGCCTCAGGGAACTGGGAAGCATTCACTTGCACCAGGAGCAGGAGACAGGGGAAGGAGGAAAGCAAGTGGCTTGCAAACATACAAATATCCACCTGCAACTTCACAAGCTAGTTAGGAAAAAAATGTCATGAGAGCTGAAGGTTCAACAAGAGTGTGGTGGTAAAGTGGAGGGAATGAAGACACAAGTCTTGCTAGTGTGGCTTGGGAAAACCTGGCTCAAACTGAGTGATAACACCTGCTTAATCTTGCTACGTTTCCTACCCAGTGGAGGAGAACACCGAGATAGGTGAATATTGCCAGAAGGTTGTATGCTAAGTGTTGACCTTGCCTTTTTGTTCTAGCCATCAAGAGGCAATGGAAATTTTGACTTCATGGACATTTGGGGCAGAATTATGCTGAAAAGGATGAATTTTCACTGAAAGTCTTTTTCCCTTGTGGAGACCCTCCTTAAATTAATTAGGTCAATTCCTTAAACAACTTTTTAGATATCATGATTAAGTTTTTTCCTTCATTTTTTTTCCATTTTATTTTTAATTTTACCAAAGTTGCGTTATTTAGGATTCTTTTGGAAGTAAAATTCTGATATATTTCTTTTTTCCTTTATAAGTTCATATTAAATTCTACCAGTGATAGCTTCTGCCACTGGAGATATTCTTTTTAATTTTAACTAAATTTGGTTTTCTCATGTTAAATTTTATAAAGAATACTGGATTCTCTTATTAGTTTTAATAAATTTATACCATGTGTACTTTTAGTCATATTATTTTGTGTTGATTATTTCTACTGAAAATAATTATAAATAAAACCATTGGAATTTATTTCTTGGAACAAAGATGATTAAGTGCAGCACAATCATAAAGTGCAGCAGCCATATTCCTGATATGGTCCAAATGATGGGAAAGTTTATTTTGCTTGTCTGAGGGAGAGTTCAGGCATGTGGTTATGATTGCTGTTTCTCATGGTGTCTTAAGTTCTAAGGTGGGTTTATAGAAGTCTATAGAAGTGTCATGAAGAAAATACTAGGCAATGGGATTACTAGCCAGCATATTACAGTTGAAAGGGCACCACATTTGGAATTAGAAGACCTTGGGCTTGTGTCCTACAACAATTGGTTTACCTCTTTGAGAATCCATTTATTTCCTCTGTTGTAAAATGGTGCCCTCTGTCCTAGTGGCTAAAGGATTCTTGTGAGACCTATATTGTGATTATATATGTGAGACCATTTTGTCAATAACAAAGTTTAAGCCCAATGTAAAGTGATATTAATAATAATAATAATAATTGACCTTCAGTATCATGACACATTTTTGATCAAGCACAGTGTCTTCAGACTTTCTATCAACTTGAATTTTACCTTCTCAGAGTGACCCTACCTGACTACCCCTCTTCTAAACAATACCATTGACTCCACCTCCATCATAATGTTTCTCACAATTTTTAGTTATTTGCTTTTGAGATGATTTGTCTGTCCTGAAATGTAAGCTTTGTAAAAGATAGACCAATGTTTTTCTTGTTCACCAACATATTCCCAACATCTAACCCAGTATCTGGCTCATAGAAAACAAATATTTTTTGATTGATAATATGCATGCACAAAGAAATTAATCTGGCAAAATACAGTCAAATGAGTCCTGTTTAGAAAAGCCAATTTAAATAATCAAAAGTGCTAATTCACATAATTTTGCTTAAAGAGGCACATACTTGCAAACACAGAATCCACATGTCTATCACATATGCATTATTTTTAGACAGTTCTGGATTTTATTTTTTTTTATTTTATTTTATTTTTTTTAAAGATTTTATTTATTTATTTGAGAGAGAGAGAATGAGAGACAGAGAGCACGAGAGGGGGGAGGGTCAGAGGGAGAAGCAGACTCCCCGCTGAGCAGGGAGCCTGATGCGGGACTCGATCCTGGGACTCCAGGATCATGACCTGAGCCGAAGGCAGTTGCTTAACCAACTGAGCCACCCAGGCACCCTAGATAGTTCTGGATTTTAAATAGGTTTACTGCTTTTTTTCTCCCAGATAACAACTGGAAATTCAGGATGAAATCATAAGATGCAAACAACCCCTACTACTATTCAAATCACCATGGGGGAGAAAGCTGTAAAGTTAGAGATTTAGTGAGTTTTTGAGCTTTTTCAATGCCATTACTCTACCCCATGAGGAAGCTGAGGTCAGGGACCCCTGAAATGAGCTGCTCAGTGTCATAAGGATGTTAATAGTAACAGGACTGGATTACAGCCCAGATTAAGGATAATGCCATCACTAAAAAGATTTGTAGAAAACTGAACAGTTTTCTTCATTATAGATATGTCTTTTTATAATTACTTATTCATTCAATAGCTCAATGCTGTTTATAGTAGATAATAGCTTTTAAATAGACTTTTTTTTTTTTTTTTTGAGATTTTATTTTTTAAGGAATCTTTACACCCAGCATAGGGTTCAAACTTACAGGAGTTCAAGAGTTGCATGAGCCAGCCCAGGAAACCCAAATAGAATTTTTACTAAAGTTCTTAATTTTGCTGGGTTTGTCTTTTCAATATTTAATAAATATAAACTGCCATCAGCATCTGCTATCTGAAGCAAGATTACTATCAATCTTAAATTCCTCTTTACTACCCCCATTTATTTTCTCCTTGAGAACATCACATAGAAAATTTACTTTTGAAAAATGCTCTTCTTTATGTGTTTTTAGTTTTTTTTAATTAAAATTTGTCCTTTCCCTCTTGAAATATACACTATACCAAAAAATGAAAGTTATACTGTCTCCTGACTGCAAATGTCTATTTTAAAACATACTGCTCAAGTTATTAAAAAGACATAAAACATGCTCTTCGAGTAATGAAATGTAATTTCAAGCATACTGGCTTCATGAAGAAAATAAGTTATCTAGATATAAATAATTTCGAGAATGTAGACTTCCTCTACATTTAACCAAGAGGAACATGATAACTCAATCAAATTAAGATAAAATGAGAGTCTAGTGAAGAAAAATGAGATTCTAGTTAAGAATGGAATCCTGACAATTTTTAGTTGTTCAGTCATTATTTTATAAATGATTCAAATATTCATGTTCTTTAAAAATATTCAGAATAGGGGCGCCTGGGTGGCTCAGTTGGTTAAGCGACTGCCTTCGGCTCAGGTCACGATCCCGGAGTCCCGGGATCGAGTCCTGCATAGGGCTCCCTGCTCAGCAGGGAGTCTGCTTCCCCCTCTGACCCTACCCCCTCTTGGGCTCTCTCTCTCTCACTCTCTCTCTCAAACAAAATAAATAAAATCTTTAAAAAAAATAAAAGAAATAAAAATATTCAGAATAAGTAGAAACAGTCATAGAATTTCAGAGGTAGAAAGGCCAGATTATCTAGCCAACAAATGGGAAATGGATCCCAACTCCAGTTAGTTTGTAGCAGCTGCTTTGAATATTGTGTTGAGAGAAATTCTCTGGTTGAATCTGGGTATAGCAGTAAGAACCATGATTGATTAGCCACATCACTTGGTGAAGAGAATGGAGTAGTAGCAAAGAGCCTTACAGTTGTCATTCTGGATTTGGTTTACTATTCTCTGTGTCCCTTTTTAGCTTTATTTTGGTAAACAAAGCAACTGAATAACAAATCAGAGAAGTGAACTAATTTATCCCAGGCAACACAATCAGGTTGAAGCAGATCCAGAACCAGAATCTTGTGCCCCTGAATGATTAGTTCAGTGCTCTTACCACTATATAGTCAGGGCTGTTTTGATGTGACATGTGTTCTCTCCACTGTTGGAAAACAAAATTGGAAGGTGACAACTCTGTATCATCAGACAGTTATTATTGTATTGTGGCTGATTAGAGATTGACAAGTTTTTGCACAGAAAGGTCAGTGAGATGTAATAGTTTAGAAAGGGCTCTGGGGTGGCCAGAAAGCGCATGCCATATTCTGAGTGTATTATTGAGTCAGGTCATGGTTCAAGAGTAAATATATCTATACCTTGGCTTAAAATATAACTTGTAAACAATTTTCTTTTATAATTGCAAATACCTACTTTTGGTTTATTTGTTTTTGCTACTAAACAATGACCAAATGACCAAATGTAATTACTATGTTGACAGGAGAACAATCCTTTCACTAACCAAAGGCACTTCATACAGTCCAATCATTTAGATTCTATGTCAAGAGTTATTTACAAGTCAGCACACAAGTAGCAAAATGATAAAAATTTGAATTTTGCTTCCATCTCTCTCTCTCTCTCTCTGTGGTATTTTGAGGATATTAAATGGCCCAAATATAGATACACAAAGGAGAAAAGATATATGTCTGTTACACTAAATATTAGTCCATTTAATCTAGGAGAGGTAGTGCTCTTGATCAGGAAATGATATTTTAATGACTTTTTGGTGAAACTCATATTCAAAATAAAGAAATTAGGCTAAAACAAAACTGCATTACTTTTGCAAAAACAATGACATTCCAATAGTTTATATTTCAGTAATCAATAACTAAGATAGCTTGAAACTATGGCCCAAAGAAGTAATTTTATAAAACTTGTTTATTTTACAATTTAGCTCCATTAATCAGTGACATCTGAAAATTAGAAGTGTGAAGACAATGGGAAAGTGTTTCCCATAAAAACTAAAAACTAGTAAATGGAGACTGTAAAATAAAGGAATTCTAGGTACTTCATATGGAGAATACCTTTTCTACCAACATTCTTTTAAATTGAACACCAATCATAGGTAGTACAAAGAATGGACTAGGTAATTGAGACAATTATCATTTTCACATGATAAATATTATATATTTTGGGGAGAGAAATGGGCTAGATAATCTTCCCAAGCACCAATTATGGGCAAGAGAAGCATATCATTGGGCACATTTGGATCCGTTGATATCTTTGCCATGTAATGCAAAATTAAAATAAAAATGAGAATGAAATGCATATGCTAATAAAATCCAAGTAGAACTGGCTAGATGCTGAGGTTCCAGACAGACCACAAACCTGAAGAATGTATTTCTGATGTTAGAACCACAAAGTGGCATCAGTAATAAATGCATTGAGGCTACAGAAAAAATTCTCCCCACCTTGTTTCTATGAATACTTTTTCTATATTAATGAGGGAAATAAAAAATAAAACAATCTTTGTGTATCCAATTCCAGATTTCTCATTTTGTAGAGACAATACTATGGGAGTCCTCTGGAATACCAATGGCAATTATAACCTAACAAATTTTTTAAACTTACTAAGGTATACCTTATTAGGAGTTAAATCCTTTATACAGCCTTCCAAACATAGATTGATAAAGTAGACATGGATTTGTTTTATAGATTTCAGGGTGAAGGGATGTGGCCCCAACCTTATGGCAGGTTGGGGCCACATCCCAGATTGGATGAAGCACCAATGAGCAGAGCCTATTTCTAGGGAACTTTACAAATGGGCACACAGGAGAGGAGCGTGGAGCAGAAGGTACCAGGTCAGGACATTTAAATGCACAGAGATGGGAAAGACAAAAAGAGAGTGTTGTGGAGAACAGAAGGCATTCAGGAACCTCTAAATTCAAACACTTTAAAGGACCCTGGAACTCTGTCACGCAGCACTCCAGAGGCCTGGCTACACTACTCATTCCTCCCTCAGCAAGTGCTTTTAACCCTGGCAGCTGGAGCATTATTTAGGATCAAATTAATTCTTAAAAAGTTAATGGAAAATTGTTAATTTGTTTGCTTGAAATGTTCCTTGTTTATTAGGTATGTTTCGGCAATGGCAAAAATAGCTTGCACTTTGAATAACAGGATAACTGCAATAAATAAAAGAATTGCTATCACCCATCTCTCCCCTAAGAATATGAATGAGTCATAAAGGCCCATTCTTCAATCCTGTAAAAATTCTATGATAAGCATCAACATGGTAGCTTTTTTTTTTTTTTTTAAAGCTCCCATTATGGAGGTTTCCAAACTAGTACGTACATGGAAAGCTTGTTAAAAGTCCAGATTCCTGGGCTCTATTTCTAAAAATTCAGATTTAGAAGTCTTGGGTAGGCCTCAAGAATTTGCTTTTCAAACAAATGCTCCAGGTGATTCTCAGACAGGAGATCTGGGGACCACACTTTGAGAAACACTGCCCCACAGTAAATTCTTCTTTTCCTCTTTAGCATAAGTCACCGTATTAAGCAAATTGTATTTAACAGGCTTCGTAATGTTAGTTCTGAAAAGCAAGTAGCCTACCCCACGATTCAGCGAGAGATAAATGATCAAAGCATAGCGGGGAAACCTAGCCTTCAAACCTGTGTTCAAGTAGACTGTCAGAATGAAATCTAAATTATCTGCCCAGGGAAGCCTTCGAGCCCGTCCATACCCCATGCGTTACCCAATGTGGACAGAGGTCCCTTTGCGTTTATCTTTGGTCTTAGGAAGCCCACATTAATATTTTCCAGATTTTTACCTCTTTTGGTGATAGTATAGAAATGTAATCTTCATAGATCATTCTGGCCTTTTCTTCAATGACTTTTTTGTTCTGCTCTTTCTTTAAGTCTTCACAGGCAAGCCAGAAAAGTAGGTTCTCTTCACTGTATTCTGTTCGGAGAAACTCTCTGAAAAGGTTTCTTCCTGCTGGGGCCTTCATCATCTTGTCAAAATTTTGAGACCAAGACAAGACTTCATCTGAAGTGGGGTTTTGGCTGCAAAGACAGAATTGGGCCATTATCAAAGGCAACAAATTGCTATTCACTTGCTGCCATCTAGTGGTCACTGATAATTTGTTTGGCCTGATCTGATAAGTATCTGCCAGGACTACTAGGCTAGTTATTTCTGGATATTAAGAAAAATTTGTTTAGGCACAAGTGTGTGTTAGGGAGCAAAGCATTCAAATAGCAAGGGGTTATACACACTATGCACATGGTCATCATAAATTCATAATGAAGCCCAGACATGTTCAAACCTTAACACTGTATTGCAAATTGAAAAAGACACCCTATGCATTAATTTGAAGGGCAAACTGAAATTTTTGTTTGCTTCTGGTGTAGATTTTAATTTAATTTCTTTGTTTATATTTTTTGATGTAGAGTTTAACTTTAAAGCCATAAGGTGCAGTTTCTCTTTTCCTCTCTGTTAGCTACTTTTTCATTTGTCACTGGGTCTAAAATAAGAATACATTGTATGCACTTGTCACATATTTTCCTAAGGTCTAGTATTACTCTATTAAATACTATGAATGAAGTATTACCCATGAATGGAATTATTAGAGCTAAAAATCTTGGGGCCTTTATAATGACACTGAGGACTTTCTAGATATTTATATTCAAGTTTTCAGTGACTATGTTCATTCAGAAACCACCAGTTATTACTCCCTTTGGTTATACTTCAAAGAAATGGAAAAGAGAAGCTTGGAGATTCTTATGGTTAAATTGATCCAGATCTTGCTTTCCTATCCATTGGTTTATTTAAAAATTTTCCAACCTCCTCAAAAAGTTAAAAATAGAACTACCCTATGATCCAGCAATTGCACTACTAGGTATTTACACAAAGAATACAAAAACACTAATTCAAAGGGATACATGCACCCCAATGTTTATAGCAGCATTATCTATAATAGCCAAATTATGGAAAAAACCCAAGTGTCTGTCACTTGATGAATGGATAAGGAAGATGTGGTGTATATATATGTATATATATATACAATGGAATATTACTCAGCAATGACATGGATGGAACTAGAGAGTATTATGCGAAGTGAAATAAGTCAGAGAAAGAAACACCATATGATTTCACTTATATAGGGAATTTAAGAAACAAAACAAATGAGCAAAGGGAAAAAAAAGAAAGAGAGGGGTAAACCAAGAAACAGACTCTTAACTATAGAAAACAAACTGATGGTTACCAGAGGGGAGATGGGTGGGGGGATGGGGGAAATAGGTGATGGAGATTAAGGAGGGCACTTGTCGTGATGAGCTCCAGCTGTTGTATGGAAGTGTTGAATCAGTATATTATACACCTAAAACTAATATTATACTGTATGTTAACTGGAATTTAAATAAAAACTAAAAAAAAGGGAAAGGAAAAAAGAAGAATTTTCCAACCCAAAATACATTTGGTCCAAGAAGTACTTGTATTTTATCTTTTCTTATTTTTTTGACCAAGTATTTTAAATAGATTTGTTACTAATCCAAAATGTCTGAACTTCCTCGTTCATTTAAAAAATTTTAAAGGTGGAAAAATTACTATGAGGCACCAACATTAAAATCTTTTCATAGGAAGCAGAAAAAGAAAGCACCTTTAAATATACAAGTAATCTACTTGTATTTTAATTTTATTTTGTAGATACTGCAATGAGAACTTGATTTTCATTTTGGAGAAAATACCTGGTTAAAGTCTGTTCTGATGGAAATGGGACCAGGGACCATCTGGGTGCCCTTTCTGACCAACCAACTTAGGTAATTATGTATCTTTTTTTTTTTTTTTATGTGTTTTAGACTCTTCCCTGATAAAGAGAAAAGCTTAGAAAAAATATTCACAGGAAAGAGAAGAATTAGGGCAATCAGGGGTTAATTCACCTTAACAGTCATTACTTTTTGAAAGAGAGAAACTCAGGCAGTGTTTTACCTGATAGCTTAACATAGGTAATAGAAAAATTGATGAAAAGCAGTTGCCATCACAAATAAGATCTCCCAGACTGAGAATGCATTCATTTCACAAAACCATTTTGAGGAGTACCAGGACACAAGAGCTAATACTCCAGCACTGAGTAGATGTAAACGGTATACAAACACAAGACACAATTACAAGGTGAAGCACACTTACCATTCCTCTAGGACTTGGATACTCTCCATTTTTGTGGTATGTGTGGGTCTTCCTGCATTTTCCCCTCTTTCTTCATTCCTAACAGTGAGGCTGCAAGGTAGTATAACATTTTATTTTGTCTAGGGAAAACCAATTACTTAAAGAAAAAAAAAATTGCAGGAAACTATTTCACAGAAGAATTTTATTCTCAACTATGTGAGAATATATATATATATATAAAGTGCACAAAGAGTGACACCATTGAAAAATGATGGGGAAGCCTATGTTCACTAAAGAAATGAAAATAATTACTTAATAAAATAATGAATAATCTCAAAAATGGATACTGTTATACATTCTGACTTCATCCTTAATAATTTGAATTACTTAAAATCTCCCAGATACTTCACATGATTATGTGCTTTAATATTTGATATGCATCAGTATGTTACTCTTTGGAGTAATGTCATTTTGACTTTTGGTTAGTTCTATTCATAGCTTGTTTTCCATTTATTTTCTCCCATTGATAGCTAAAAAGATAAAATGTTTCAGATTCTGAAACAAAATTTGCTAAATTCACATCATCATTTTCTGCATCCTAGGTGTTCTGTCCCTGATACCATCACTCCTCCAACCACTCAAGTTTGAACTACGGGATTTATATTTTTGTCTTTGCCCTTTCCTCCCGTTTAGTCAGTCTTCAATGTCTTGGGAGGGACAGACCAGCCACTGTGAGGATTTGGGTAGGACCACTGGATCGGAGGAGTCCCTGTGTCTCTAGGATGTAAATTTGAAAATTCTGCAGGACTGCAAGAGCTAGGATAATCCCATGGGCTTTAGTAACCCAGAACAAGAATTGTCTGATTCAGGGAAACTTCTGCTGAGCAGCACGATAGGGTGGAACACCCAAGGTTCTAGGTGTAAACGAGATGTAATGAGGGAGGTTATGGGTGATACTAAGAAGCAGGGTGGTTGGGATGGCTCAATGGCCTTGAAAAGTCAAGCTACTGAATTAGCAAACTGATCCCTTGGTCTAGAAGCCAAGAAGCTTCATTGGAGCCTGTCAGAGAGCAAAAGTCCGGATAACATGTCTTTCATTTGTCAGACATTCATTTGCTCAACAAAGGGAAATGGAAACTATTATTTCCTAGTACCTATTATGTGTCAGGTACTGTCCTTTTCTAATTTTATTATCTCCATTTTATAGATGAGCAAACTGAGCCACAGAGCTGTCTAGTAGTTTTGCCCAACGTTGGACACGAAATACGTTGTATGATTGGAATGTGAATCCAATTCTGTCACGCAAATCTGTAATCTTTATTGAGTATCTATTAAAAATCATGCTCTCTGATAGGCATTAAGGCAACATACTACTTGTGTGAATGCAGAAAAGGGGCACTAAGTAAGGTTGTGGCAAATGGAAGGGGGTTAGTAGGACAAGGATTCCAACAAGCCATTGTTCTTAAATCTGAGAAGCTTGGTAATGGAAGTGGAGACATTGGCTCATTAATTCATCTTTTTTAAGATTTATTTATTTGAGAGAGAGAGAATGAACGGCGTGGGGGGGGTGGAGGAGCAGAGGGAGAGACTCCTCAAGCAGACTCCGTGCTGAGTGCAGAGCCCGACATGGGGCTCAATCTCACAACCCATGAGATCATGACCTGAGCCAAAATCAAGAGTCGGACACTTAACCGACTGAGCCACCCAGGCACCCAAACATTAATTCATTCTTTGATTCTCATGGGCAAGGGTAAGGATAGAGAGAATGCTGGAAAGGGAAGAATCTAAGGAAGAGGGGCCAATCTGCAACTGAAAGAGATTAGATAGGAAAATCTACTTGGGAAAGTGGACTACCCGGAGAAAAGGGAACTCAATGGGAATTGCAAAAGTGGTGTGGCTCAAAAGATTCTGGGAAGCAGAAACGCTGATTGTTAAACACCTAGCAAACTGACTAGTGCTCTGCAGAAAGGCAGCAGTTCCAGGGTTAGAACCCTCCATGCCTTCCGTGTGGGGTAGCCATGGGGAAAACAGTGAGGTGGGATTCAGAGAGAGCAGCATGGTTGTTTATGTCTCTGCATGTGGATTCTGTGAATATGTCTGCAGCTCAAGGCAGTCCAGAACCCTCAGCCCTCGATGTAGCAACACATTTCTGTCAGGGATGTGTTTGAGAGGAGATCCATTACTCTCTCAAAGTATCTTTGAGTAGGAGTGCTTTTCTGGAATTTGATATCTTTCCAGTAATTATGGGAAAGTGGGTGGGAGGAGGTAGGAATACATATTGACAATATCCTGTGAAATTTCCTGGGAGAAATTCATGATGCCAAATATATAAAATGTGCAAAATTTTTGTAAATTATGGAGAGATCGTATTTAAATAGGATATTAATACTCATTCTGCCAGCCTTTACTGAGCTTGTATGTGTATGTGCACACACATGGTAAGGTACCATAAAAAGGCCAGATAATGAGCTTGCTTTCACTGATTAAATAATGAACTCCTTGAGAATTTATTTCTGTTCCATTTCCACAGCCACACAAATGCAGCTATACTTCACTTTAGGCAGTATCTTAGAAAAAAAATGTTGTTCTCCATTGTGTCTTTGCTGTAGAGTAACAAATCTGGAATCCACATGCGTGATTCACAAGTTTCTGAACATGAATTCTGGCTCTTATATCTGTTTCTGTGATATTTGCAAACATCCCAAATGCCACCATATTAGAGTGATCATCATGAAATATTGGGTTGTGTTTATATCTTTCATTTCTACAGATGGTAAAATATGGACACACATTTGTACTAAAACTGCTTATAACAGATATTCAATAACTGCTTAACTGTTCAGTGTTTACTCTGTTTCTTGATCTAATATTGGATTAAATATTGGCCTGCAGAAAGAAATGGACTTTCAGCAATTGTCAAGTGTCCTTTTAATTAACTTTCCTTTACTACCATCCTTAAAAAATTGGTTTCAAAGTTCCAGTTATGAAGAACTGCTAATAATGCCACTTTAAGATGAAGAGATATGGATAAAATGATAACAGAGTTGGTACTAGACTTCTTGCCATCTACGTCTTAGGAATGACTAAGTTTCAGCTGGTCTTGATCTAAGTAATATAGCAGAGTTTTTTTTTTTTAAGGTAATAAATGACAGGAAATATTTGCTCTAAATCAACATATACATCGTTCCTGTGCTTGAGAAAAGCTCTAAAAGTAAACCAAGTTTAACAGTCACAAGTAGTCATGTGGAGACATGTTTTTTTCACTTTTACATTAACTAACATTTCTGCTTTTTAAGCAACTAAAGCCATAAAGAGAACAGAATGCATGTATAATGCTCACTGTGGGAGTCTTGATCAAAGCTTAAGTATTTTATAGAAGACAGTGCCAATAATCTAGGCTAAGTATACGAAAATAAGCATTTAAAACCCCATTAGAAATTTTATAGAATGGTGACTTTGAGAAGGGAGAAATACATTTGATACATTTCAGAAAATAAGGAAATATGCTTTCCTTGTGTGTGGGTGAATTTTTTGAGCTGGATGAGTAGGGTGGGGAAAACATTACCTGCTGCCCGTTACAGAGCTTGCCTACTGATTCATCATCATGGATGTGTGTGGGGCCTATTTTGGGAAGATAGTCTACTTTTATAGGAAAAACAACTGGTTCTTAGGGAGAGCCCTTGAAATGGCTGCAAATAAGATGAAAACTTTGCAGTAGCCATGGTAACTCTAGGATGGAGGCCGATCACAAAACCACATAAATTTACACAAAATCTCAGCTGAAGAATCAATAGGATGCTTGCATTTAATTCACTATGACATCAAGGCTCAAGAAAGATCCACTGTCATTGGTAAAGACAGATACTATTCAGTATTTTAAAATTCTCACAGTATATCAGTTTTTCTTTTTTTATTTAACAGCTTCTACCTCAAATTTTCCAGTGCAAAAATGGAATCAACATCCTTCAGGCTCTGAAAAAGAATTGGTAGTTTATTCTTTAAATGTTTCATTTTTTTCTCCCAGTAAAAATACCATGGTAAAATAATACTACAGCTTTATTTAGAAGTCAACAACAATTTATAAATATGTATGAGACACCTGGTTCATTCAGTGTTGCCTGGGTTGGAAATTCAAGATGAATATGACAGAGCCTCTGAAACTGAAAAGCTCTGACCGGTAAATAAGCATCACACAAGCACTGCAATGAGAGCTAAAACAGTGGTACGCATATAATGTTTCTTAGGTAGTTACAGTGTCTACGCTTTTGCATGAGATAATTGAGAGAGGCTTTGCAGAGGAGGTAATGATTAAACTGAACAATGAAGGCAGGTGTTTCAGATAAGACTGGGACAAAGGGAATTCCAAGCAGAGGGGGGAAAATCACATATAAGAGGCTGGGAGTCGTAAAAAAGGCATGATATAAATGTAGGTCAAAATGGGCCGATCAGATGTTTCAGGGTGGGGGTGATACATTAGAATAGGCAGTGAGGTGTGCTTATGTAACCGGCCAAGAAGACAATGAGGTGCTCTCCAAAAGTACAATATACCTCCTTTATGATGACTTTTGCTTTTATTGCTTTATTTTCCTCCTCTCATACAGGGGATAATGTTAAGACCCACTACACAAGGTTGCAAAGCAAAGACTAAAAACTTGAGACAAAAAGGCAACTTATTACACATGCTTAATTAAATGTAAGGGCAAATTAGTCACATATTGAAATGACAATTCCAAGTTTACCAAAGACCTTTTAATTTCAACTTGAGGAAATAAAGCCTTACACTCTGCCATTATTGTAAAACCCTTCCTCATACATTACCTTACTACTTCTTCCTCACCACAGTCCTGTGAGGTAAGCAGGGGATTTGTTATTCATCATTCCCATTTTATTTTAGAGGACACAGTCCCCGAGGTTGATCTACACCATTCCCACAACTAAACCATTATCGGGGCTGGCCTTGAACTCCCATCTTCTGACTTCCGGTCTCATGTTCATATTCACTACTCAATGCCACTTCTCTTTATATAAAAGAATTAATTGTGATCTTTTTTTAGCTTTTTAGTTATTTACAAAGATTGATTGCTCCTCAATGTTTGGAGGAGGGAAACCTC